AATTTTGACACACAAGAAAATTTATAAAAAAAATTTTTTTTTGAAAAAAAATTTTTTTATAAAATAGTTTTGTGACATTTAATTGTCATTATCAAATAATAACAATTTCGAAGAATTCTCAGCTGTGTAGTTTTCGACGAGTTCGAAAAGTATGAAGTGACAAAGTGATTGGATGACTATAAGGAAATACGTACTTCTGCAACGATTTTTCCAATTTTATTTTAAGTATATATATATATATATATATATATATATATTGTATTTTATTGTAAGTATAAAAAATTAAGTTTACTATTTTTTTAATTGTTAGACATATATTTTTCTGAGTGTGCCAATAAGAAATTCTATCAATAAAGGATCTTATCGAGATGTTATATAAATACTTACACAATGTCTTATCAGTATTATTACTTTTATTAAAAATTTCAGTATTTCAAATTATTTCAATCAATAGGTTTGGACTCTGATTGTTTACGATATACAATAGTAGCAACTTTCTGTTCTATCCTCTTACAGCCTGCCATCGAATACAGATTAAGCGGCTCAGGGCCAAAAGTTAAATACGACAGTGCCTCCTGTAACATCTCCTCTTTCGGAGTGACACCTCGATCTGTGAAAGACCTTGCCAAACATTTTCTAACATGCACTTCCTCAAGAGGTAGGAAAGGCACATAATGATCAATCACACTAGTCTGTATAGTGTCACTATGATGGAAACCACCCTTCTCAGTGAACGCTCCACCAGCTACGAGTGTTTCAAAATCCTGTAGTTTTGTGTCCTCCCGTTTCTTGCCCTTCTCCCACAGATTTTTGAGATGCTGCACTATTTTGGTACTGCCAGTGTTTGAGAGAAATATAAAAATAGCTTTGTTCTGGTACACGGATTTGCTATTCTTAGTGGATTTATGATAATTGTTGTAGTCTAGAAATGGTACCAGTACGTTTAGTAAACCCTCTGGCATTTTATCCACCTCGTCGAACACAAACATCGATCTCTCGCACTGTTGCAGACCGTTGAAAATAATTTTGTATAATTCTTCCTACAAAAACAAATTGTCCATTAATTTACTTGTATTATAATGAATTACATATTTGAATGCATATACCTGGTAGTCATCTACTTTTCGTTGCAGAGGAAAATCATTACGGCCATTGAAAAAATGGAAATAGTTGCTCTGAACACCGTTTTTATAAAAAGCTTTGGCAATCATCTGCACAACATAGTTCTTGCCTGTTCCTGGTGTGCCATGAAAACTCATGACCAACGCCTTATGCGAATTGTGATTTTCCAAGTGGCCCCGAAGTGCATTTATGATCGTTTCATGGGCAATTTGTTGCCCGTATAATTTAGCAGTAAGTGCATATTCTAATCCTATAATTTCAATAATTTTTTAATATTTCTGTGTAAATGTATACGTATAAGATAAAAAAAATTATGGTAATTATATAGCTTTAATTTCCATAGTTCAAAAATCAAAAAAATTATGCTTAATGCATTTACTGCATTTTTGCATGAAAGAATTTGATAGAAAAAAGAATAGAAGAATAGAATCGTGCGCCCCTTGATAGAAAGAAGGAAAGGGAAGGGAGAAGAAAGTTGCTTCGCGTAAAAAGTTGAAATCTATGTGCACAATACAATACATTATATATAGACCATTTCGTCTTTGACAGATTTCCTAACCTCAATAATAATCAACTTCAACGCTTAATATCTTAGTTCGTGGGGCAGAGCGGCACTTTTTTCTGCCAAATTCTTTTGTGTGTAAAAACACATCGAATAAGTCTAATTTTATTGATTTTTAAGCTGCGGAAACTAAACTGTATAATTAATTATAATATTCAAATAAATTATAATATTCTGGTAAAAATTGATAATTAAATTATTTCTGATTTCAAATTAATAATTAAAACAAAAACTAATGATAATCAATGATCATCAGAAAATATTAAAATGCATCAAATCACTTTTAACAAAAATAAATATACGAATCACTTATTAGATTGAAAATATCTTCAATTCTATTTAATGACAATACATAAATCTAAATTTTTTTTATAAGAAGAAATTCTATGGATTCACACTTACTATCTAAGTCAGCAGGAATGTATTCATCTGTGCAGCATTCCTGGTACACACATTTGTACTTGTCGTACGCATAATAACCTAAACCACTTAATGCACCACTTAATACACCGAGTGTTATAAGTTCGCCTTGTGCAAACGCGAGAAATTTTATAAAAATTAGTAAAAGCATAAGGACGCGTTTGATGAGATTCATGTTATCGAATTCTTTTTTCTTTTTCTTCTTTTTCCTTTGATCTTCTACTTCGCTATTAGAAGAACGGCAAGTTCGGCTATTATTTTCTTACAATCTTCCCAGGTCAACACAGACTCTCGATGGTATATCATACCATAATATTGTACTGCACTATATGTATTCAACTGTAGTAGCATCACAACTGGTATTATCGTTTCTCCATTGCATTAAAGTCTGTTCCAGACCGTTCTAGACCATGGTGGAAAATATCTTCTTTCATCATGCTCTAGACCGGAACTCTCTTTCTCGCTTTTGACAAATATCACGTATACTTATCTCATTTTCAGTTCCAAAAGTATACTAGTTCAACTACTGGAATCGGTCTTTAGAATTATCATACCTAACCATATCTGAATTATAAGAAAAGAAAATATATATATATATATATTTTTTTTAATGATTCAGGACGAAAGAAGAGAGTTTAATTATTTATACGTTAAATAGTATTAATTATTTAATGAAATATAATTTTTGTTGATAATTCTTATTAATATATTCTTATTAAGATAATTTTATAAAGATAAAATTTTAATTAATGACCAGAAGCACCGAGATACTATTAAAGACGATTATGGAATGGCGCTTATGAAAGTTCGCCGTTCGCGTGTCTGTTAAAATTTAAGCGAGTTTAAGCGAGTTGTTTCTACCAATGTAGATTAACTTAATTTAATCTCGGTTCAATTTATTCTTTGTCTTTTTCTAATTTTAAAGATTAGAAAAATCGTTGAATCGAGATTAAAGTTAATCTACATTAGTGGAATGAGCATTAGAGTAAGAAACTAATATGATACTAACTCCATGATTTATTAGTTTCGTAAACATCTATATAAAATATAATAATACTCGATTATTTAAAACTATGATTTTAATGTTATCATTCGAATTTGATAATCAATATGAAATGATAAATGCAGAGAAAAAATTATAACTTTTCAGCGTACTTATTTATCATTTGTATAATAAAAATAATGAATTTAATAATGAATTTAATAATAAATCGAAATATTTATGTTAATATAATAGTAAATTTTTATTAATTATCGATAATGTCATCGTTTTTCAATTAATTTCCCCGGAGTCTCCCCGGAGAGAGCACAAAGTCTAAAAGATAATTAAAAGACGACTAATACTCGTATTCATAGTCAGGCCTTATATTTAAGGAAGCCTTAAGTACAAGGTCTGACTATGAATACGGGCATAAATTGTTATAAAGACATCTTTTAGGCTGCGATCTACTTGCTTCTTCCAAATGAACGTTATATTCCAAACGCTACGCTCCGATTGGTTCATTATTGTTCCAAATACTACAATTACTATGTGAACGCTCCAGCCAACCCACCAGACCCACCTCCCGAGTCCTCGAGTTCTGAGGCAGTTGGAGCCATTGGAGCGAAGCGGGAGCAAAAACAATGACACATTGATGACGTAATTAGAGTTGCAGGGAGCACGTTCCGAAGTATCAAATGGAACAGTCATGTTAGTGCTACAAATGCTGACAAGCGCTCTGTAGCGTTTGAAACGTTAAGTGGACTGTAACCTTTATCACATGACCATGCGATTGGTCAATTTTTTTTTCATTCGAGATCTCGGACCGATTTCTAAAGCCTTGTGTCCTCGATGCTAAAAATCGGTCCGAAACTTCGAATGAAGAAAGAATTGACCAAAGAATGGTGACGTTTGTTAATTTTTTCTCTACCGAGATGGACACGAGTCTTTACAAAACTGTTGCGTTCTACAAAACGCATTCATATATTCGGATGTTGAAAAGAGTTAAGACGTAAAAAATATAAGCACTGCAAGCAATGTGATAGATCTGTACCAACGACATATATATATATATATATAGACCAAACATTCTGCTCGTAGCTTGAAGGAAATTGACGGTTTATATAGCGTTTAAAACCGTGATGTCTCTTTCTACTTTGATGAGAGAACAGTATGATAGAGTGAAATAGCACGGGTCCTAAAACGCCACATAAACTATCAATTTCCGGCTTCAACCCCACTGAAAAGCATGAGAATGCTTCATCTATATATATATGCGATGATATATATATATATAAAACCAACGTCGATTAATCTTAATCAGAATTGATTAACAACCATAATTGGTCAATTCCACTAAACAGTAAATGCGATTGGTCAGTTAACAGTCGATTAAGTAACTGACGTTGGTGAAATTCTTTAAGTTCTTGACAGTTGGCATCTCTGCATTCGACCATGATCGCGTTGCCCTCATACGGCGCTTTCGCAAATTAATCCGGAATAGCTTGAAAAATCATACACATTTCTCTTTATTCTTTCAGGAATCAGGAATTAAGTTAAACATCAATAACTGATGATAATTCAAAATTATCAAGATCTATCAAAAATACTGATTACATCGTGACCAAAATTCAACTTGTTGAATTATTTCGTGAACGTTACTAGTCGTGCCACAATTGATGCTCTGACGGGAACATCGGTGACGAATTAAGAGAAAAAACGCTGAGTCAATCGACATAAGTCGTTTGTTAAAAGATAGTGATCTCGAATCTCATCAGCAAAGGAAAGCTAAAGACACGCTAATTGAGATGGCAACTAAGGATCTTAAAGACGACACCGCCACCGCTACTTCAACTGGCAAACTCTTCACGCGGGCAGAAGTGGAGAAGCATACTGAAACTTCCAAAGATACATGGATCATCATTCATAATAATGTCTACAATGTCACCTCGTTTCTCAATGAGGTTGCAGTTTTTCTTCTCACAAAAAAACTTTGATACTGATCTTTGTTGAATTCAATTTGAATCTTTATTTTTGTTTACTGAAATATTTATATAATATTTTTTAAATATACAGTTTTTATTAAAACTATTCTGATATGTTAATTTTTTTTAATAGCATCCTGGTGGTGAGGAGGTACTCCTGGAACAAAACGGACAAGATGCTACAGAAGCTTTCGAAGATATTGGACATTCAACTGATGCTAGGCAAATGATGGAATCATATAAAATTGGAGAGTTGGTAGAAGTAAGAGCTGATTTCACAAGCTGCATTTTACATTATTCTTGTATTTCTTTATTATTGGTATGCCTTTTAGGTAGATAGAACAGATGATTCTGAAAAGAAAACAAGGGACTGGTCTAATGGAAATGAAGACAGCTCTAGGTATGATCTTATTCTCATTTTTCTATCGTACTATTTTAAAGACTTGATGATTCTAACATTCTCACAATTCTATTATATCTTCACATTTTAATATTTCAGAATATTTTTTGCTGTTCTAGAAATCTATTTTCTTTGACACTATCTTTCACAAATGTTCCTAAATTTTTCAATTAACTCTTTTCTTCTTAACTTTCTTTAATTTTGATTATTACACAGATGGTATGAATACTGGAAAATGGAAATCTTTTTTATTTAAAAGGTGACCTCTGTTACATGGTACGCTTAATTGGGTTTAATAATATTCGTAGTTATGAAATTAGCAATCATAGCTGTTCCTCAGAAGAATGGAATGACTGTGATTAGCTAGTTTCATAACTACGGATGTTATTAAATCCAAGGTAAGGGTATCTTGTAAAATCAGTGTCTAATCATAATATAACGATACTTTATCTGATGTTATTTTATTCAGATATTTTTGTAATGTGCAAATGTATTATAATAACAAGAGTTTATCAGTAAATTTGTATTGAGCTTATTCATTATCTAACTCCCAAGAACTTTCTTATTTAATCAATTCTACGTTTTAAAAGTAATTTTAGCAACGCTAATGCTTTATTTACAATGCTAATATTATACAATATGTTAAAAAGTTGAATTAATTAAGTTTGAAAACAGCTCTTATTTTCTGTAATTTCCTGAAATTTTAATGTTTTGATATAATTGAAAATATGCTATAAATGCATCAAATGCATCTCCTGATTGTTCAATTAGTAAAATTCTACCAATTGATCAATTAAATACTTAAGCATACTCAAAGCTTGTAGCTCTAAGTAGGTCTTAATAGCATATTAACGTTCTTTCTTCTTGTTAAAAAAAAATTTTAAGTTTGCTAAATATATATTAAGTATAGACAAAATCAGTTTACTAATTTTTAACACCTGCATGAATAAAATCAAATATCAACGTGTTCATACTATCTGTATTTAAATACAAGCAGAAAACCTGTTTCTTTTTTAAGTATCATGTGTAAATATGAATCGTCATGTGTAAATAGTCGATACTGCATCGTGATGTGATGATTGGCAATTGCAGTTCTTGGTGGTCCTGGTTGATTCCAATTGCCCTTGGGGTGCTTGCCACCATCGTCTATCGCAACTTTATCAGCGCATATTAAAACATTCCGCCTTTTTTTCATGTTATTTACTTGTTAACAACTATATATATGTATACATATGTATTGATAAACAATTGTTGTACAATTTTTCCGAATGTATGTCGCGTATTGTTGTTTTCTATGAACCAAATAATGCATTTTCTGGCCTAGGATCTTTTCACGAGAAAGGAAGATAGAGAGGAAACGGCCGATAATATGTACTATATAATGATACATAATACAAATAACGCACATTTATATATTTATATGTATACATTTGTACACATAGTATATATATGCATATGTACATGTAGCGTTCATACGCGACGTTTTCCAAATTGACGAAATAAATTAATTTAATTCCTTAGAAAGCAGGATTCCCACGGAATAAAGAAGTAAACCTGGTCCTTAAATCCTTAAAAATGAGAAAAAGACTACTACAAGAAGACAATAACTAATAGAAGTAATTCGATCATCGATCAAAACATATGAAACGAGTGATCATATTTGTTAATATTATTTATATATTATAGCAGATCAATCAAGAAGACTGCATCGACTGCACTGATGAAGAGATAAAATAGCTGCATTTAAAATAATTTTTAAAATATTTTTTATAATGAGTATAATGAATTTGTAATCACATTTATTATCTTTTCTACAATTTACCAATAAAAACATAATAGATTTCTAAAAAATTTCTTTTAAATAATAATGCATATAAATCGCAAAATTCAAACATGTACAAACAATAATAATGCTATATAAAATTTAAGAATTTTAATACTTGTGATGATTTTAATTTAGATCGATTCTGAGATTTAATATTCTAAGATTAAGATTAGTATTCACAATCGCTTTTTATATTTATAATTAACTCAAGTGCAGTCTTGACACGTCATAAATCAATCACCATGATAAAAACATTACTTAAGAATGTCGACTGTAAATATCAGCCTAAATATTTATTAAAACTATTCGACTGCACAACATTCTTAAATAAATGCATTGTACTGTATACAGAAAAAATAATTTTGTTATTTATTAAAAAATTTAGTTAGATAACATCTGAAAAAGTATATATTTAGTGGATCATTAAAATAATTATTCAGTCAAAAATTCAAGCATGATATTGCGTAATACTGCAAAAAATTTTATTCTCATAACCAACTCGACCATTTTACATAATTACTTTAAATTAATATTAATAATCCGACAAAATAATATTTAAATCTATATTTAGCCAAATTTTTTAATGCTTCAACAACTATTCTTTCTGTATATAAGAAAATGAATATATCAACATCAAAATTGTTAATTTTTTTTTAGTATATAATATAATAGATTTATATTATCATATAGTATATTTATACATTGATAAATAAAGATTCTGTTGCAAAGGTCATACGGAAACATTCATCTGACCCCGAATACAGAAAACGAGTTCAACAAAGTGGCAATAGTGGCATTGAAATTAAGTGCCGACGATCAGACGTCCTGCGTGGCTGCCGCACGCAGGAGTCGCGTGATGAGCGAGGGATAACCAATGGATGCTACGCACCATTCTGGAGTAAGGATTCACGGTGGCGTCGCTTCGTTGTCGGTATCGAGCGAATTCTCCGACGCGCGCGTCTCGTCGCGCCGCGCCGGGCTGCGCCGCGCCGTACCGCGCCGGTTCATGCTTTGCCCTCGCGTCTCTCCACTCCCTCGACCCTCGATAGCAGTGGCTTTGATAGACCTCGCCTCCGACGACTCCGACGAACGCCCAGTAAAGCGCGAAAGTTCGTTGAGGGAGCGTCGTGGAATATTATTCTGACAGAGACATCAGCGACAGGCGATTAAAAAGAGAGAGAGAGAGAGAGAGAGAGAGAGCCGGAAGAGAGGAGACTTGTAGAGCGAATAAGTAAATTCGGCGAACCGATTGAACAGCATCGTTGCGAGAACGAGCGAGAAACGAGAGGAGAGTTTACGAGAGAACAAAGATAGTACGCGACAGGGAAAAAGGAGTGAGTACACGCTGAGAAGAGCGACGAGAGGAGAGGACAGGGATCGGTCCCGGAAGTAGAAGGGCAGAGGTCGACGGGGAGGTAGAAGAAGAAGGGGTGCGAGAACGACGAAGGACGCGAAGACAGCAGCTGTAAGGAGCGAACGGCGGTGGTTGCACTGAAAAGTAGCGGCGTGGTGTCATGAGAGGCGGTCTCACGATCCGCCCTTCTTATCGGTCCCTCCAAGAGTCATGCATGTCGCGCCCCTCAAACGAGGTAAGCGCGTAATTGCTGGAGCAACCCTCCTTGTCTGTGTGATGATAGGGATGCCGGTCGCATTAGATCGTCGTTGTAATCGTTGATTTATCTGGCTCTGCAATTCCATTTTTTAACATAATAGAAAGTCGTTTTAACATAATCGAAAGTTCAAATCAGTTAATTAATATATCTGTCCTTGTGTGAAGATGAAAATTCTTAAAATGGACTTTCATTAAATTTTCCTTTCATTTATTTTATTGTTATTCCCTTCATCTATTTTCTCATCTTCGTGGACAAGCCTGTGATCAGATTTCTCTTGATACATAAGAAGTAGAGTTTTAGTTTTGTTGAACTTATTATTCACTGAGTTTTTATATTTTTTTCGTCCTGAGAGAGAATTTGAAGATTTCGATACAAAAACGGTCTCGTGAAAAAAATTAATTGAATTAATGAGTAATTATCTCAAATTCCTTAAAAAGCGAGATCATTGTGCCTCAAACTAATCGCGATTAACAGTCTCGTATCTCGCCGGTATACACGCGATACGCCCACGTTTGTTTGTTTGCAATGAAAACAACTGGCGCGCTTCTCATTACGTAATCGCATTAATCTTTCAGAAAAAAAAACCGCTTAAGAGTAATAAAATTTCTAATGCGATTATCTATTAAATAATCTCCGTCCGCACATGACGGTTCGATAAAATGTTCTGAAAGAAAAGCAAAGAAAAAATTTCTGTTACAAATTAATCAGTATTAGAGAAATCAACTTTAGATATTAATAGAAAATGAATATTTAAATAAAGTATCGCTTAATAGTTAATTATCGTTTATGTAATATCTGATTTCTACTTACAACCTTAGGCTTTTATAGTGCCTCTCGATTTCAGATAAAAATAGTTTAACAAAATTATTAATGGAATAATGCGAGCATTTGATACATTATTATTAAAAATTATCTAATTTTTTTCTGGCTGACATAAATTTATTATAAATTTATTATTAATTCTCTGAAAAATATGTCCTGGTTGTACTAACAAGTATGAACAAAATCATCATATTGACCAGAATTTTGATTATCATAATTGAATTTCTGATTATCTCAACTAGAATGTTTGATAGATTTAATAATAAATGTCTTTTATAATTGAATCTGTATTTTTATGATTGAATCTACCATTCCTTCTTGAAATTTCAATTAATGCGATTAGACTTTTTTTTAGTATAATATGTAAATAAATTTAAAAGATTATACAGGATTCTCGAAAAATTAAAATCGCGAATGAACTGATAAGAGTGTAGCGATAATTGATGCGCAATTTAACAATCAATAGAAAGTTTTTATTTATTTAGATTTACTTTATTGTTCGTTACAGTGTAATTTCACTGAAGCCGAATGTTCAAACAATAAAATAAATCTAAATATAATTTTTATTGATTGTTAAATTGCATCAACTGTCGCGCTGTACTTTCACTCTTATACAATTTTAAATAAATAAATTTATTAATAATT